TGTTTTCCTTCGGCCACTGACGACGCTCGTGCGCAGTCCGTCGTCCGTCCGCCACCGTCGCACAGTGGGTCGTGAGACGATTCTAGGAGGACAAAAGTCAAAAAATACATAACTGATAATGACCCTTACATATTTATGTATTAATAAAAAACATTCCAGTGAGTCAATTGCTACCGATAATTTTTAAAATACGCCCCGTGCCTTTGCTAAGCAACAAATAAAAAGCATCAGTTTTATATCTGGTTGGAATCATAACGTTAGTGTCGTGTTCGGACTTATTTTGAATAGTTATTTCGCTGGCTGTTTTAAGTGTTTTTATCCAATACTAAGATGAATACTAATCGCCAAAGTATGTATTTTAATATGTATATTTCATTAATAATAGTCAATGAGGGAATTTTATATAAAACAATCGCAAACCCAAGGGATTTTTACACTTAATTTTAAATAAGTAGAACTTTAAAACTTCTGCATCTTTTTTCGTATGTCTTTGTACGTTTTAATTTCATTTTCTCCGGATTTTTGAAAATTTTATAATTATGTCTAACAGATATCTGTGTGCGGAAACGAGCGGATTTTGACGTATAACCATTTTTTCTTTCACAGGGCGATGGCTCGTAGTCAGCGGGAGTGAACTTTTTGAAAAACTAAGAGAAAAAATTAAATGATAAGCGGGTCATTCCAAGTAAAAAATATTATCGTAGACTACATTTAAAAAAAAATTCAGTTTAACAAATCCTAGTCGAGTTAGTGGAAAATGAGATACGTCAAGTTACTTGTTCTTTTTCCGTTGGTCTAAGTCAAAGATGGAAGAAACGTAATCGAAATATCAAACATTTTTCAAACAAAAATCGCTTATGGCACAATGATTAGGCAATTATCGAACATGTCGATTTGCCACAAACTAGTGCAAGCTGTAAAACACCACAAAAACAAATAATGGGACGTCCCAAAAAGAATTTTTGGGACGTCCCATCCAGCCAAATGAACGATCTACCCAATATTAAAATGAGGCAATGTAATGAAGAAACTCTTTCATTTGGTCTATCGACTAGTGCGCGAGACCGAAGAGAATGAGTCAGTATCAACAAGAAAGAAAAATATTATTAACAGATTTAGAACCGAAACTGGTTTACTTCTGGATACTCCCAAGCAAGGTGGTGGAAACACCAACGACAGTAATTCGGCAAGATTCTTTTCGAATGCCACTCTTATTGCAGAGATAACCGGTGTTAACAAGAACCTAATAGAACGATTTTCGGTTATATTACAAGCGCTGGCATCGGCTACGAAATTGATACGAGCAAATTCGAAATCTACACGAAGGAAACAGAGGAGTTATACGTGACGCTTTATCATTGGTATCCCGTGCCAGTCACTCTTCACAAAGTTTTAATACGCGGATCAAAAATTCGTTTCTAGTTTCAATAGGACAATTGTCCGAAGAAGTGCAAGAAACTAGGCACAAGAAATTTAAAAAATTTCGTGAGAGTTATTCCCGAAAAACCTATAGAATAAACACTAATATAGATATTTTACATGATCTTTTAATTTCTTCAGATCCTCTCATTACAAAACTTAGATCACTTGGTATAAGAAAACTCGGTTAACCGCTAACGTTTTAAAATTACTAAAAGCACCGAGCGTGACCGTAGTATAAGAGAAATCCGAGTCAAACTCCGAATGTAACTCCGATATGTAAATTTTTAGTTAATACGATATCTAAGTAAAAAATTTTTATTATAAAAATGAATTGCACCAGCCTATATACTTAAGTCCTGCTAGAATCGTCTCACGACCCACTGTGCGGCGGGTGAGATTTATTCGAACAGAAGTTCCTGACGCATGCGTATGTCGTTTTACAATGCGAAATGTGCAGTGCATGCTGGTTATAAATCAGTTACAGTTAGCGACTAGGGAGACTTGGGTAGGAGTAACGTAAGTAATCTAGATGACTTAACCCTATTGGATATTGGAGGTGTATATGAATACGAATGAATCGTACAAGCAAAAAAAAACAAAGGTCGACAGGTTGCGCACGATATTCCCGGACTATCTGGATGCATGGTAACACTATTCCGTGCTCATTTCAATCGGTCCGAGTCGTAGGTGGACGAAAATATGAAATATAATGGTTCAAATTCTTACAAGATATTATTATTTGTTGTGAAATTTTGCCGCCCCCTAAAATGTAATTTTTCCGCCCCCTGAAAAGTGCCACCCGGGGCGGGCCGCCCCTGCCGCCCCACTACGCTACGTTACTGGTAAACGTTCCAGAAAATTGATCAAATTAAAAACAGTAATCTAAGAATATTAGAATCTAAGAATAGGCGAATCTAATAGTAATAATCTAATAGTAATAGTAATCTAAGAATAGGCGAATTTTCACCATTTTATATAAATTCTTGTACTTAATAAAACTTATTGAATTCAATACTAACAGTTTAAAGATTCGATATTTATTGAAGTTACGCAATTTTAGATTAATTTATAATTAATAAGAATGTTTCTAACAGTTATGACGGATGACGAATAAAGAAAAAATGCACACGATTCATAATGAATCAAAAAAATTCAAATATTAAATCAAATTTTAAAAGCTTGCAAATTCGTAGTCAAACAATCGAACTACTAATACCGGTTGTCGCCCGATCAGCTGAGCATAAGAGCGTCGGGCGCGCTCAGTACTTGGGACGGAGACGACCTGGTAATACCGGCTGTTTCTGTCACTATTCTTTTTCTTTCATTCTTCGACCTATCTCTTTTTCTTACGTCTAATCAAATTGATCACTTCGCTCAGTTAATACAATACATTATGTCAAGCAAACATTTCTTTTCTATAACCTTTAGCTTCCGGTACATTGCTTTAAAAATTCTCGGTAAACATACCTTGTATTAATTAAAAAGGCACACTGAGCGGTTAAATGCGTTCGTTACGTGTAAAAGAACATACTTCAGCTAGCATCAGAATCAAGTGATAGCCTGTTGTACATGTTTATATTTACTAAAAGTACATCAAATGTCAAATAAGGACGTGGGCTTAGAATTAAATATAATTTGTACATCGTCGTTGGATACTAAGCAGTAGAAGGAGAGCCGCGGTAATATTGTCGTTTTGGTTTGCAGTAGATTTCGGGCCGCAATCTTTTAATAAACTCATTTTTATTTACAATGTTTAAACGGTATCTGTAAGTTACAGTTACACAATATTATAACTTCTGTACAGGATAGTAGCCTAAAGTTGATTTAAAATCGGGCATAATTGTACAGCGCTTATGGAAACCGTTTCATTTACAAACGTTTACGGTATGCCTCCTGTTTTATTAAACTACGAAAATCCGAAATTCCTATAGTTTGTAGTATCGAACCCGAGGCAGCTACGACCAGCAATTCCGCGACACGACGGTCACACACAGAATGCTTTCAATATGCTGTTAGTGTGATCGTTACAAAACAGTTTAATTTGCATAAATTTGAGCTTTTCATATTCTGAAGAACATTCCGAATGAAAATCAAATCGTTCGGTTGCAATTTTATTTTAATAAGCGATAAAAGCAAGAGATCGGACCCCGCCAAGTTTTACCTATCTACCCGCAAGTTTTGCCAGCTTCTCACTGATAACGATGATGGCGTAAATTTAAAATTTGAGCTCTCTAGACCCAGTGCTGTTCTTTCTCTAGCAGCATCTGCACCGCCAAATGAATAAGAAAGAGAAAAGATACAGCTTTTATGGAGATCTTTGCACTTTTCAACTGCTTATATTTCAGCAACCCCTTTATAGAAAAACCTGAAATTTTGCACGCTACCTATAAAAACAAGAGTCTTTCGAAAGAGATACAGTATTTACATTTAGACAAGCGACGATTAAGAAGAAATCAGATTTGTTCGGTCCGGCCGAAATCAGGCGATTGAGGCAATCATTGAAGCAGGCTAATATTTCGATCCCGAAGTTATGACTTTGCATTGCTGGATCAATGTTTCAGATCATTATCTTGCTGATAAATGAAAGATGTGGTAATAATCAACAGATTGTGACAAATAATTGTCAAGTGTAAATAACGCTGTAAATTATGCATTCTATTAGNTGGCTACTTTAATATTATTTTTACGTGTTTTAGCTGGCAACACTCATTCGACCATGAAAGAGAGCCAGTATTTAAACGAGGCTTAATTTTCTAATTTTTAACGATACAATAGCGACGATTATTATTTTAAAAAATTTTTGTTAGGCTTAACATCGATGAAAATTCAACGCTAAGTAGGTTAATAGCGATATACTAATATACTAATTACATGGGATATAATAATATACTACACTAATAATAGATTTTTTCATACTTTTCGGTTATCCGCCCTTTCAATTATCTGACCAACCCCAGTCCCCAATTAGGTCGGATAATCGAGGCTCTACTGTATAGGTGTTGCAACGAGATGTGTCAGCAGCAGGGGACAACTTGAGTTAGAAGTCGCACTTGTTGCTCCCTTTTTTCTAATACATGGCTTAATTAACACGACTAGAATGAAGTTTCTAATTCGTTTTAAATGGACGAATAAATCAATCTGAATAGAAGTGTTTAGTCACTCGATAGATCTCATTATCTTTTGTATATTTCAGAAAGTATAGTCCTTGTCACGTGTAAGCTTTTATCTGATAATTTTGGACACTTTAATTTAACAAAAGATTCAATTTTATTAATAGATTGGTAGTTAAAAAAGGGGGTTACTGTATTTCGAGTCTATTCTTTTTTCGCTTCGGAGGATCATGATAAAATGGAAACTTTTATTCGCAGACACGAGAATATTAGATTTGTCAATTGATATTACTGTCAACGCGAATGTATATGCAAGGAATGATCCGCGAAAATCTCTCTTCCGCGACAGGGAGGCGCAAGTCACGAAATTCGGTGAAAAATCCAAACGTTTTACATTAAATTTCGTGGCGACGCAACAATAAAACTGCGACAATTTGTTGCGAGCGGTCGATAATTATCATTGCGAGCGGTTTGATTTTTCTGTTCGTGCGTTTAAAAGTGATTTATTCGAAGCGTTTTCTGAGTTTTGCATCAATTGCAGCCATTTTATCGGTAAGTTCAGACCACGAACTTTCTAAATCTAGGTATTTTTGAACATTGTTAAAACAGTCGATCCCGACCAATGGCGGATATTCTGTCTCGTGATGACTAAACCATCAAAGGTATTTCTTCCATAAGCAATTCTGCTTGGAAACTGACAGTTCGAATTATGAAATTGTCCACGAGGTTTTACAAAAATTTGCATTATTCAGCGTTTTGCCGAAATTTCGGTGAGCCTTGAAAAACAGCGTAGCCAGCTGCCTGCAAAGAAAGAAACGCCTTGCGACTGTTTGAATTGCGATGCGAATTTCGCGAGTGCAAAGTACGGGAATACATTGCACTTCGACCGCGTTTAAACATATTGTATGTATATTCGAAGTTTGTATGTATATTCGAAGTTGTATGTATATTCGAAGTTTGGTTGCAAAGAGCGAAACGAAGAAGCAAGTAGTTACAAAATCAATTATCTATGTGTTTTATGTTCTATGCCACGCCTGCACTTGATTTGTCGAAAATGGAAACGTTTCTATTGCGAAACGTATTGCTGTAGCATGAAAAAGTGCGCATTGTGAACGGAAAATATATTGGCGGTCCTCCAGAAGCAGTCGTGGCCGATTGGTTAAGGCGATGGACTTGAAATCCATTGGGTTGTTCCCGCACAGGTTCGAATCCTGCTGACTGCGAGTGACGTTTTTTTCGTATACGGCCAGACGAAAAGCATTCTTTTTGAGTTCAGTACGACACCATTTTTGCGCCGCACGAGATGCGAGCTTTGTCGTCACCATTAATGCGAAGTGCTTGCCAGTGATCGAAAGAATCTCTTTCGAATTATATTTTATTGCCGGTAACAGAGTGGATAAAAAATTTCGGAAATTTCCTATCTGTTGCTTTTTCAGGCGTGGCAGCGATTAATAAGAAAAAGAAAAGGAATCGCGGAAAAAACCCATCGCCAAACGAGCAACACCAGTGCCTTAGAACCAATTTCAGCGGCGTTCCTATTGCTTTAAACTTTGAAAGTCGATGTAAGCAGAAATCAAAAGGCGATGGAAGACTATCAAATGCTATAAATATTCCCGTTTGCGAAAAGAAAGCTCCAACAACGTAGTACAGTGATCAAGAAGGAGGAAGAAAGACAGAAAAAAAAAATTATTTTCTCCCCGGCGGGGAATCGGTCTCCCGCGTGACAGGCGGGGATACTCACCACTATACTACCGAGGAACGAAAACACTTTCTGCTCCATGCTCCTTTAACTGGAAACCTATGACGACAGATTACTTTCTTCGGCCAGGGAACGTTCCAACTCAGCTCGCATTTTCTTCCGTTCATTTCAATTTATATACAAAACTGGACAATTTTCCACCATTGCTGTCAAATTGCCACTGAAGGGTCTACTGCGATATCGCGACGGTCAAATGCCTCGGTGACAGCAGTCAGCAAAATCCAGGTCACACGAAAGCGCGACATTCGTCAGACCAGCGGCCGTGATCGTCTAGTGGTGAGGACATTGCGTCGTGGCCGCAATAACCCAGGTTCGATCCTGGTCACGGCAGTCCGGTTTTTTTTTTTCTTTTTGTTCGTTCGGCACGCGAGATTTTCGCTCTTCATCGTTTGTGAAACGTCACGCCGGAACGGCGCAACGCTATGTAACTATGGACACTTT